CTCCTCCCTGTTTTCCCAGTTTGGGGGTACCCAGTACAGCCTGGTGGTGTTCAACACCGTGGATCCTGAGGGGTTTTGGGAAGCTCTGTGGGGTTTGGGGGGGGTTTCTATTGTGACCATTTCCCCCATTTTCTCCCAGTTTGGGGGCACCCAGTACAGCCTGGTGGTGTTCAGCACCGGGGATCCTGAGTGGTTTGTGGGATCTCTGAGTGGTTTGGGGGAGCTCTGTGGGTTTTGGGGGGCTCCTGTTCTGACTCTCTTGTCAATCCTGTCCCAGTTTGGGGGCACCCAGTACAGCCTGGTGGTGTTCAACACCGGGGATCCTGAGCAGTTTTGGGAAGCTCTGTGGGGTTTGTGGGATCTCTGAGGCGGCTTGTGGGGATCCTGAGTGGTTTTGGGGAGCTCTGTGGGTTTTGGGGGTTCCTATTGTGACCATTCCCCCCTGTTTGCCCAGTTTGGGGGCACCCAGTACAGCCTGGTGGTGTTCAACACCGTGGATTCTGAGGGGTTTGGGGGAGCTCTGAGGGGTCTGGGAGTTCCTGAGCAGTTTTGGGGAGCTCTGTGGGTTTTGGGGGGCTCCTGTTCTGACTCTGATGTCAATCCTGTCCCAGTTTGGGGGTACCCAGTACAGCCTGGTGGTGTTCAACACCGTGGATCCTGAGGGGTTTGGGGGATCCTGAGCGGTTTGTGGGATCTCTGAATGGTTTGGGGGGTTCCTGTTGTGACCATTCCCCCATTTTCTCCCAGTTTGGGGGCACCCAGTACAGCCTGGTGGTGTTCAACACCGTGGACTGTGCCCCCGAGTCGTACGTGCAGTGCCACGCGCCCACCAGCAGCGCCTACGAGTTCCTCACCTGGCTCGACAGCATCCAGTGAGGGGGAAAGGGGGGCTTTGGGGAGGGGGACACACCTGGGGTGGAAATTTTGGGATTTGGGGGAAATTTGGAAGGAGGGGGCTGAGGGTCTGAGGAGGGGGCTGAGGAGGGCTGAAGAGGGGCTGAGAAGGGGCTGAGGGGTGAGGAGGGGTCTGAGGGTCTGAGGAGGGGTCTGAGGTTTTTAGGGGGGCTGAGAAGGGCACTGAAGGGTTGGCTGAGGGGCTGAGGGTGTGAGGAGGGAGCTGAGGGCCTGAGGAGGCGGCTGATGGTCCAAGGGAGGGTCTGAGGGGTGAGGAGGGGGCTGAGGGGGGTCTGAAGGGCTGAGAGGGGTCTGAGGGGCTGAGGGGGCTGAGGGGCTGAGGAGGGCTGAGGGTTTTGGGGGGCTGAGGAACTGAGGGGGTCTGAGGGCTGAGGGGGCTGAGGTGTGCCTGAGGGGCTGAGGAGGGGCTGAGGGGGTGCTGGGGGCTGAGGGGGGCTCTGAGGGGTGCTGGGGATCTGAGGGGCAGAGGAGGGGTCTGAGGGTCCAAGGGGGGCTGAGGAGCGGGCTGAGGGGGCTCTGGGGGCTGAGGGGGTGCTGGGGGCTGAGGGGGCTTTGAGGGGGTGCTGGGGCTCTGAGGGGCTGAGGAGGGGGCTGAGGGTCTGAGGGGGTCTGAGGGGCTGAGGAGGGCTGAGGGTCCGAGGGGGTCTGAGGAGCTGAGGAGGGGTCTGAGGGAGGGGCTGATGGGCTGAGGGGGTTTTGAGGGGCTGAGGAGGGGTCTGAGGGACTGAGGGGGTCTGAGAGGCTGAGGAGGGGTCTGAGGGAGGGGCTGATGGGCTGAGGGGGGTTTTGAGGGGCTGAGGACGGTGCTGGGGGTCCGAGGGGGGAGCTGAGGGTCTGAGGAGGGGTCTGAGGGAGGGGCTGAGGATCTGAAGAGGGGTCTGAAGGTCCAAGGGGAGGGCTGAGGGTTTGAGGGGAGGCCTGAGGGTCTGAGGGGGGTCTGAGGGTCTTCCCCTCCCCAAAATCGCGGCAGGTTCGTGGGGGGGGGCGGCGAGAGCTGCAGCCTCATCGCCGAGGGGCTCAGCACGGCCCTGCAGCTCTTTGATGACTTCAAGAAGATGAGGGAGCAGATGTGAGTGCTCAGGGGGCTTGGGGAACCTGAGGGGTCTGGGGGTTTCTGAGGGGTTTGGGGAGGTCTAAGAAGGGTTTGGGGAGGGTCCTGAGGGTTTGGGGGTCTTGGGGACAGTTTGGGGGTCCTAAGGGGTTTGGAGGGGGTTCTGAAGGGTTTGGGGTCTTGGGACAGTTTGGGGGTCCCTAGGGGCTTGGGGGTCTGGGGACAGTTTGGGGCTCCTCAGGGGGCTTGGGGGTCTTGGGACAGTTTGGGGTCCCAGGGGGTTTGGAGGAGGTTCTGAAGGGTTTGGGGGTCTTGGAGACAGTTTGGGGTGCCCAGGGGGTTCTGGGGGTCTTGGGGACAGTTTGGGGGTCCTAAGGGGATTTGGAGGGGTTCTGAAGGGTTTGGGGAGTCTTGGGGACAGTTTGGGGGTCCTCAGGGGGTTTGGAGGGTCTTGGGGACAGTTTGGGGCTCCTCAGGGGTTTGGAGGGGTTCTGAAGGGTTTGGGGAGTCTTGGGGACAGTTTGGGGGTGCTCAGGGGGTTCTGGGGGGTCTTGGGGACAGTTTGGGGCTCCTCAGGGGTTTGGAGGGGGTTCTGAAGGGTTTGGGGGTCTTGGAGACAGTTTGGGGTGCCCAGGGGGTTCTGGGGGGTCTTGGGGACAGTTTGGGGGTCCTCAGGGAGGTTTGGGGATGTCTTGGGGACAGTTTGGGGGTTCTCAGGGGTTTTGGGGGTCTTGGGGACAGTTTGGGGGTTCTCAGGGGGTTTGGGGGTCTTGGGGACAGTTTGGGGGTTCTCAGGGTTTGGGGAGTCTTGGGGACAGTTTTGGGGTCCTCAAGGGGGTCTGGGGGTCTGGGGACAGTTTGGGGGTCCTCAGGGGGTTTGGGGATGTCTTGGGGACAGTTTGGGGGTTCTCAGGGGGTTTGGGGTGGGGTGAGGGGTTTGGGGGTCCTGTGGAGTCTGGGGGCCTTGGGGACAGTTTGGGGTCCTCAGAGGGGTTTGGGGGTGGAGTGAGGGGTTTGGAGGGTCCTCAGGAGAACTTGGGGGTCTTGGGGACAGCTTGGGGTCCTCAGGGGTTTGGAGGGTCTTGTGGACAGTTCTGGAGGGTCCTCAGAGGGGTTTAGGGAGGTGTTGGGGGACAGCTTGGGGGTCCTCAGGGGATTTGGGAGGAGTCCTGGGGACAGTTTGGGGTCCTAAGGGGGATTTGGAGGGGGTTCTGAAGGGTTTGGGGGTCTTGGGGACAGTTTGGGGTCCTCAGGGGGTTTGGAGAGGTCTTGGGGACAGTTTGGGGTCCTCAGGGGATTTGGAGGGGTTCTGAAGGGTTTGGGGAGTCTTGGGGACAGTTTGGGGGTGCCTCAGGGGTTCTGGGGGTCTTGGGGACAGTTTGGGGGTCCTAAGGGGGTTTGGAGGGGTTCTAGGGGTTTGGGGAGTCTTGGGGACAGTTTGGGGTTGCTCAGGGGGCTTAGGGGGTCTCAGAGGGTTGGGGGTCTGGGGACAGTTTGGGGGTCCTCAGGGGTTTGGGGGGTCTTGGGGACAGTTTGGGGGTTCTCAGGGGGTTTGGGGTGGGGTGAGAGGTTTGGGGGGCGTCCTGAGGGGTTTGTGGGGTCTCAGAGGAGTTTGGGGTGGTCCTGACGGGTTTGGGGGGGAGTCTCACGGGGGGTTTCAGGGTATCCCCAAGGGGTTTGAGAGAGTTCCTGAGTGGTTTGAGGTGGTCCTGAGGGGTTTAGTGGGGCTCTGGGTTTTTTTTTGGGTGGTCTCTGACCCCTCCCCATCATTTTCCCCTAAAACCAGCGGGCAGACCCACAAGGTGTGTGTGTTGATCTGCAACTCCCCCCCGTACCTGCTGCCCGCCGTGGAGAGCACCACCTACTCTGGGTACAGCACCGAGAGCCTCGTGCAGAGGATTGCTGAGGTGAGGGGGATTTGGGGGATTTGGGGGGCTGGGGGACATGGGGGGCAATGAGGGTCCCACCCCACCTACTCTGGGTACAGCACCGAGAGCCTCGTGCAGAGGATTGCTGAGGTGAGGGGGATTTGGGGGATTGGGGGATTTGGGGGCTGGGACCACCCCTGGGGCTGGGGGAGATGGGAGGGCAATGGGGTCCCACCCCACCTACTCTGGGTACAGCACCGAGAGCCTCGTGCAGAGGATTGCTGAGGTGAGGGGGATTTGGGGGATTTGGGGCTGGGACCACCTCAGGGATGGGGGCTGGGGAGATGGTGAGGGCAATAGGGGTCCCACCCCACCTACTCTGGGCACAGCACCGAGAGCCTCGTGCAGAGGATTGCTGAGGTGAGGGGGATTTGGGGGTGATTTGGGGGCTGGGACCACCCCGAGGGGCTGGGGAGATGGGAGGGCAATGGGGGTCCCACCCCACCTACTCTGGGTACAGCACCGAGAGCCTCGTGCAGAGGATTGCTGAGGTGAGGGGTAATTTTGGGAGTCCCAGCAGCGGGATCACTTCTGGTGGTCGCCCATAAGCTGCCAGCTAGGCGCTTCTGTTGAAAGGGCCCCAGGGCCTGGAACCCCAGGGCAGGAGGCAGGACGGCACATGGTGCTGGTCAGGAAGTGCCTGCCAGGTCTGAGAGACTCGGGATTGAGGAGAGGTCGGGATAGGAGCGGGGCTGGGGGTGAGAAGAAAAATGGTGGGAAATGAGGGGAAAGGAGGGAAATGTGAGGGGAAAAGGAAATGTGAGGGGAAAGGAGGAAATAGGAGGAAAAGAGGGAAATAGGAGAAAGGAATGTGAGAAAAAGGAGGAGAAATGGGAGGAAAGGAGGAAATGGGAGGAAAGGAAATGTGAGGAAAAGGGAGAAATGTGAGGAAAAAGGGAAATGTAGAGGGAAAAGGAAATGTGAGGGGAAAAGGGAAATGTGAGGGAAAGGGAGAGGAAAGGTGAGGAAAAGGGTGGAAGGAGTGAGAAGGAGGGAAATGTGAGGAGAAAATGGGGGGAAAAGGGTGGGAAAGGTAAGGGGAAAATGAAGGGAAAATGGTGGGAAAGGTGAGGGGAAAGTGGGGGGAAACATGAGGGGAAAATGGGGGGAAAAGTGAGGGGAAAAATGAGGGGAAAATGGTGGGAAATGTGAGGGGAAAATGGGGGGAAATGTGAGGGGAAAAGGGCAGGAAAGGTGAGGGAAAAATGAAGGGAAAATGGAAAGGTGAGGGGAAATGGGGGAAACATGAGAGGTGAGGAAAATGGAGTGGAAAGCGATGGGAATGTGAGGGAAAATGGTGGAAAGGTGAGGGGAAAATGGTGGGAAAGGTGAGGGGAAAATGGTGTGAGGAAAATGGAGGAAAATGAGGAAATGAGGAAAGGTGAGAGAATGGAGCAGGAAATGGAGGAAAAAGGGCAGAAAGGTGAAGAGAGGAAAATGAGTGAGAAGAGTGAGAGAAAGAGTGATGGGGAAAATGGAAAAAGGGCAGGAAAGGTGAGGGGAAAATGAAGGGAAAATGGAGGGAAAGGTGAGGGGAAAGTGGGAAACATGGAAAGTGGAAAAAAGTGAGGGAAAAATGGAGGAGAGAGAAATGGTGGGGGAAAGATGAGAGGAAAAGGGCGGGAAAACGTGAGGGAAAAGTGTAAGGGAAAATGGTAGGGAAAAGTGTGAGGAAAATGGAGGGAAAACTGAGGGAAAAGGGTGGGAAAAGTGAGGGAAAGTGGAGGGAAAGGTGAGGAAAGTGGAAGGAAGGTGAAAAATGGAAAATGTGAGTGGGAAAATGGGGAAACATGAGGAAAATGGTAGGAAAGGTGAGGGAAAAATGGGGAAGCATGAGGGGAAAATGGTGGGAAAGGTGAGGGAAAATGGATGGGAAAGGTGAGGGAAAATGGTGGGAAATGTGAGGGGAAAATGGTGGGAAAGGTGAGGGGAAAATGGTGGGAAAGGTGAGGGGAAAATGGTGGGAAAGGTGAGGGGAAAAATGGTGGGAAAAGTGAGGGGAAAATGGTGGGAAAGGTGAGGGAAAAGATGGAGAAAGGTGAGGGAAAGTGGGAAAGGCAGAAGGGAGGAAAGTGAAGGGAAAAGTGGGAAAAGTGAGGAAAGATGGGGGAAAATGTGAGGGAAAGAATTTGGAAAGGTGAGGGAAAATGAAACATGAGGGGAAAAATGGGGAAAGGTGAGGGGAAAATGAAGGGAAAATGGTGGGAAATGTGAGGGGAAAATGGGGGGAAACCTGAGGGGAAAAGGGTGGGAAACGTGAGGGGAAAGTGGGGGAAAATGGGGAAAAGGGCGAGGAAAAGTGAGGGAAAATGAAGGGAAATGGGGTTGTATCCCCCATCACCCCTTTTTCTTTGTGTTTTTAACCCCCCCCCAAAAAAACCCACCCCAAAACCCCAGGCAGCACCACGGGCTCGGCCTCGCTGCCCCCCAAAGCCACCGTGGCCCCCAGCTGCCCCCAGCCCCAACTGCCCTGGCCCTCACAGCCCCCGCCGGACCACAACCCTACCAGGTAAATCCTTCTCTTTCCTTCTCCCCTTTATTTTTGGGGGTTCAGGGTGTCCCAAGACCCCCGCAGAACCTGGACCCCCTCCCCAGAATTAAGGTGCCCCCGCGCGCTGAACGCGGCGCAGGCGGCGACGCAGTCGGCGGTGGAGGCTGCCAAGAGCCAGAAGAGCCTGGGCGCTGTGAGTCACCCCCAATTTTGGGGAGTGAGGTTTGGGGGCTCTGGGAGGGTCTGAGAAACCCCACCCCAAAATTTGGGGGTTTGGGGCTCTGGGAGGGTCTGAGAAACCCCCACCCCAAAATTTGGGGGGTTCAGGGTGTTGGGAGTGTCTAAGAAACCCCCACCCTAAAATTCGGGGGGGGGGTTTGGGGTTCTGGGAGGGTCTGAGAAACCCCCACCCCAAAATTTGGGGTGGGTTCAAGTGGGAGGGTCTAAGAAACCCCACCCCAAAATTTAGGGTGAGCTTCGGGGTGCTGGGAGGGTCTGAGAAACCCCACCCCAAAATTTGGGGGTTCAGGTGTTGGGAGGGTCTGAGAAACCCCCACCCCAAAATTTGGGGGGTTTTGGGGTGCTGTGAGTCACCCCTGAATTTCTGGGGGGGGGTTTGGGGGGCTCTGGGAGGGTCTGAGAAACCCCACCCCAAAATTTGGGGGTTCAGGGTACTGGGATGTCTGATCACTCCCACCCCAAAATCTGGGGAGTTCAGGGCTCTGGGAGGGTCTGAGAAACCCCACCCCAGAAATTTAGGGGCTTTGGGGCTCTGGGAGGGTTTGAGAACCCCACCCCAAAATCTGGGCGGGGTTTAGGGCACTGTGAGTAACCCCAATTTTTTTGGGGGCTGGGGTTTGAGGGGCTCTGGGAGGGTCTGAGAAACCCCCACCCCAAAATCTGGGCGGGGTTTGGGGCATCAGGAGTCACCCCCAACTTTTGGGAGGGGCTTGGGGGCTCTGGGAGGGTCTAGAAACCCCCACCTCGAAATTTGGGGGGGTTTTGGGGCTCTGGGAGGGTCTGAGAAACCCCCACCCCAAAATCTGGGCGGGGTTTGGGGCACTGTGAGTAACCCCCCAATTTTTTTGGGGAGGGGTTGGGGGTTTGGGGGGCTCTGGGAGGGTCTGAGAAACCCCCACCCCAAAATTTGGGGGGGGGTTTGGGGCTCTGGGAGGGTCTGAGAAACCCCCACCCCAAAATTTTGGGGAGGTTTTGAGCTCTGGGAGGGTCTGAGAAACCCCACCCCAAAATTTGGGGGTTCAGGGTACTGGGAGGTCTGATCCTCCCTACCCCAAAATCTGGGGAGTTCAGGGCTCTGGGAGGTCTGAAACCCCACCCCAAAATTTAGGGGGGGTTTTGGGGCTCTGGGAGGGTCTGAGAAACCCCCACCCCAAAATATGGGGTTGGTTCAGGGCTCTGGGAGGGTCTGAGAAACCCCCACCCTAAAATTCGGGGGGGTTCAGGGTGTTGGGAGTGTCTAAGAAACCCCCACCCTAAAATTCGGGGGGGGGGTTTGGGGTTCTGGGAGGGTCTGAGAAAACCCCACCCCAAAATTTGGGGGGTTTTGGGGCTCTGGGAGGGTCTGAGAAACCCCCACCCCAAAATTTGGGGGGGTTTGGGGGGCTCTGGGAGGGTCTGAGAAACCCAAAATTTGGGGTGGGTTCGGGGTGTTGGGAGGGTCTGAGAAACCCCCACCCCGAAATTTGGGGGGTTTTGGGGCTCTGGGAGGGTCTGAGAAACCCCCACCCCAAAATTTGGGGTTGGTTTTGGGGTTCTGGGAGGGTCTGAGAAACCCCCACCCCAAAATTTGGGGGGGTTCAGGGTACTGGGAGTGTCTGATCCCCCTCCCTACCCCAAAATCTGGGGGAGTTCAGGGCTCTGGGAGGGTCTGAGAAACCCCCATCCCCAAAATTTAGGGGGGCTTTTGGGGCTCTGGGAGGGTTTGAGAAACCCCCACCCCAAAATCTGGGCGGGGTTTGGGGCACTGTGAGTAACCCCCCAATTTTTTTTGGGGAGGGGCTGGGAGTTTGAGGGGCTCTGGGAGGGTCTGAGAAACCCCCACCCCAAAATTCGGGGGGGTTTGGGGCACTGTGAGTCACCCCTGAATTTTTGGGGGGGGGTTTGGGGGGCTCTGGGAGGGTCTGAGAAACCCCCACCCCAAAATGTGGAGGTTTTGGGGTGCTGTGAGTCACCCTGAATTTTGGGGGCTTTGGGGGCTCTGGGAGGGTCTGAGAAACCCCACCTCGAAATTTGGGGGTTTTGGGGCTCTAGGAGGGTCTGAGAAACCCCACCCCAAAATTTGGGGGGTTTAGGGCTGCTGTGAGTCACCCCTGAATTTTTGGGGGGGAGTTTGGGGGGCTCTGGGAGGATCTGAGAAACCCCCACCCCGAAATTTGGGGGCGTTTGGGGCTCTGGGAGGGTCTGAGAAACCCAAAATTTGGGGGGGGTTTGGGGCTCTGGGAGGGTTTGAGAAACCCCCACCCCAAAATTTGGGGGTTAGGCCGTGAGTCACCCCAAAATTTGGGGGGCTTTTGGGGTTCTGGGAGGGTCTGAGAAACCCCCACCCCAAAATTTGGGGGGTTTTGGAGCTCTGGGAGGGTCTGAGAAACCCCCACCCCAAAATTTGGGGGGGATTGGGGGTTTTGAGGGGGTTAAAGGGATTTTGGGGGGATTTTAAAGGGATTTTGGGGGGTTTAAAAAGATTTTGGGAGGCTTTAAAGTGATTTGGGGGGGGCATTAAAGGGATTTTGGGGGCTTAAAGTGATTTTGGAAGGTTTAAAGTGATTTTGGTGGGGTTTAAAGTGATTTTTGGGAGTTTTAAGAAGATTTTGGGGAGCTCAGAGGGGGTTTTGGGGTGGGGAGGTGGTCTCAGAGGGGTTTGGGGGCATTAAAGTGATTTTGGGGGGTTTTAAGAAGATTTTGGGGATCTCAGAGGGGTTTTGGGGTGGGGGGTGGTCTCAGAGGGGTTTTGGGGTGGGGGTGGTCTCAGAGGGGTTTTGGGGGTCTCAGAGGGGTTTGGGGGGCATTAAAGTGATTTTTGGGTGTTTTAAGAAGATTTTGGGGGTCTCAGAGGGGTTTTGGGGTGGGGGTGGTCTCAGAGGGTTTTGGGGTGTTAAAATAATTTTGGGGATGTTTTAAAGGCATTTTGGGGATCTCAGAGGGGTTTTGGGGTGGGGGGTGGTCTCAGAGGGGGTTGGGGGCATTAAAGTGATTTTTGGGGTTTTAAGAGGATTTGGGGATCTCAGAGGGGTTTGGGGTGGGGTGGTCTCAGAGGGGTTTTGGGGTGGGGGTGGTCTCAGAGGGGGTTTTGGGGTCTCAGAGGGGGTTTGGGGGCATTAAAGTGATTTTTGGGGGTTTTAAGAAGATTTTGGGGGTCTCAGAGGGGTTTTGGGGTGGGGGGTGGTCTCAGAGGGGTTTTGGGGTGGTTAAAATAATTTTGGGGATGTTTTAAAGGCATTTTGGGGATCTCAGAGGGGTTTGGGGGTTAAAGTGATTTTTGGGGTGTTTTAAGGGATTTTGGGGATCTCAGAGGGGTTTTGGGGTTGGGGGGTGGTCTCAGATGGGGTTTCAGGGGCATTAAAGTGATTTTTGGGGGTTTTAAGAGGATTTTGGGGATCTCAGAGAGGGTTTTGGGGGTGGGGTGGTCTCAGAGGGGGTTTTGGGGGTCTCAGAGGGTTTTGAGGTGGGGGGTGGTCTCAGAGGGGGTTTGGGGATTAAAATGATTTTGGGGGTCTTAAAGTGATTTTGGGGAGCCCAGAGGGGTTTTGGGGTGGGGGTGGTCTCAGAGGGGGTTTGGGGTGGGGGTGGTCTCAGAGGGGGTTTGGGGGTGGGGGTGGTCTCAGAGGGGTTTGGGGGTTAAATAATTTGGGGGGTTTAAAGTGATTTTGGGGAGCCCAGAGGGGGTTTTGGGGTGGGGGGTGGTCTCAGAGGGGGTTTTGGGGGTCTCAGAGGGGTTTGGGGGTCTCAGAGGGGGTTTTGGGGTCTCAGCACTCCCTTAGCCCCCCTCTCTTTCTTTCCTCCCCTCAGTCCCTCCCCTGCCCCCTCCAGCCCCCTTCAGCCAGACCCCCCAGCCCTCCCCGGGCCCCATCGCCCCTCCCCAAAATTGCCCCCAGGGCCAGGGGCTCTCTCCCCCGCGGGGCTCCTGCCCCCAACCCCGGGCAGCCCCGGCCCAGCCTGGAGCCCCCATGGTGAGTCTGGGAGATTTAATTCTGGGGGTTAAATTTATTTTTTGGGGGTTAAATTTAATTTTGGGGGCTTAAATTTAATTTTGGGGATAAACTTAATTTTTGGGAGGGGTCAGAGTTCATTTTCTGGGGTTAAATTTCATTTTGGGGGCGTTAAATTTAATTTTTGGGGTTAAATTTAATTTGGGGGGGTAAATTTCATTGGGGGAGCTAAGTTTAATTTTGGGGGTTAAGTTTAACTTTTGGGGTTAAATTTAATTTTGGGGTTAAATTTAATTTTTGAGGGTTAAATTTAATTTTGGGGAGGTTAAATTTAATTTTTGGAGGTTAATTTTATTTTGGGGGTAAATTTCATTTTTGGGGAGGTAAATTTCATTTCTGGGGGTTAAATTTAATTTTGGGGGTTAAATGTAATTTGGGGGTTAACTTTCATTTGAAGGGTTTAAATTTAATTTTTGGGGGTTAAATTTCATTTTGGGGCATAAAATTTAATTTTGGGGTTAAATTTATTTTTGGGGGTTAAATTTAATTTTGGGGGTTAAATTTAATTTTGGGGGTTAATTTTTATTTTTGGGGTTAAATTTCATTGTAGAGTTAAATTTAATTTCGGGGTTAAATTTAATTTTGGGGTCAGAGCTCATTTGGGGGGGATAAGTTCTGTTTTGGGGTTAATTCAATTTGGGGGTTAAATTTAATTTTGGGGTTAAATTTAATTTTGAGGGGTTAAATTTAATTTTTGGAGGAGTTAAATTTAATTTTGGGGTTAATTTTTATTTTGGGGGTAAATTTCATTTTGGGAGGTAAATTTCATGTTAGGGGTTAAATTTAATTTTGGGGGGGTTAAATGTAATTTGGGGTTAACTTTCATTTTGAAGGGTTTAAATTTAATTTTAGGGGGTTAAATTTCATTTTGGAGGGGTTAAATTTAATTTTGGGGGTTAAATTTCATTGGGGTTAAATTTAATATTTGGGGGTAAATTTCATGTTGGGGGTTAAATTTAATTTTTGGGGGTTAAATGTAATTTGGGGGTTAACTTTCATTTTGAAGGGTTTAAATTTAATTTTTGGGGGTTAAATTTCATTTTGGAGGGGTTAAATTTAATTTTGGGGGCTTAAATTTAATTTTGGGGGTTAAATTTAATTTTTAGGGTGTAAATTTAATTTTGGGGTTAAATTTAATTTTGGGGGTTAAATTTAATTTTGGAGGGTTAAATTTAATTTGGAGGTGTTAAATTTCATTTTGGGGGGTCAGAGCTCATTTTGGAGGGGTTAAGTTCTGTTTTGGGGGTAAATTTAATTTTGAGGGTTTAAATTTAATTTTGGGGGGTTAAATTTAATTTTGGGGGTTAAATTTTTTGGGGGTTAAATTTAAATATGGGGGTTAAATTTAATTTTGGGGGTTAAATTTCATTTTTGGGGTTAAAATTAATTTTTGGGAGGGGTCAGAGTTCATTTTGGGGGGGTTAAATTTAGTTTTTGGGGGGTTAATTTTTATTTTGGGGATTAAATTTCATTTTGGGGGTTAAGTTTCATTTTTGGGGGGTTTAATTTAATTTTGGGAGGTTAAAGTTTAATTTTTGAGAGGTTAAATTTAATTTTGGGAGGGTTAAATTTAATTTTTGGGCGGTCAAATTTCATTTTGAGGGGGCTAAATTTAATTTTTGGGAGTTAAATTAATTTTGGAGGGTTAAATTTAATTTTGGGGGTTAAATTTAATTTTTGGGGTCAAATTTAATTTGGGGGTTAAATTTAATTTTGGGGTGTCAAATTTCATTAGGGGCTAAGTTTAATATGGGGGTTAAATTTAATTTAGAGGTTAAATTTAATTTTGGGGGTTAAATTTCATTTGGGGGTTCAAATTTAATTTTGGGGGGTTAAATTTCATTTTTGGGGTTAAAATTAATTTTTGGGAGGGGTCAGAGTTCATTTTGGGGGTAAATTTCATTGGGGGTTAAATTTCATTTCGAGTTAAATTTCATTTTGGGGGTTAAATTTATTTTTGGGAGTTTAATTTTCTGGAGGGGTCAGAGTTCGTTTTCTGGGGTTAAATTTCATTTTGAGGGGGTTAAATTTAATTTTCTGGGGTTAAATTTAATTTTGGGGGGTTAAATTTATTTTTGGGGGAGTTAAATTTAATTTTGGGGGTTTAAATTTAATTTTCTGGGGTTAAATTTAATTTTGGGGGCTAAATTTAATTTTGGGAGGACTATTTTTGGGGGTCTTTTTGGGGGTCAATTTTGGGGGGATTTTTCCCGTGGTCTGTGGGTATCTCTGGGTGCTCTTTATTTTGGGGGTCACTGAACTCTTTTTCTCCCTCCCCAGACCAGTGGGGGCCCCTCAGCGCGCCCCCCAACCTGCGAACCCCACTAGGGCCTCTGGCGGGACCCCAACAGTCCGGGGGAACAAGTGCTGGCCTGGAGGTCCTCGAGTGGCAGGAGGTGAGGGGGCTTGGGGGTCCTGGGGGTTTTGGGGGTCTCTGAGGGTCTTTGGGGGATTTGGGGAGTTTGGGGATTTTAGGGGTCTTGGGGTGTTTTAAGGGGGAGTTTGATTTTGGGGTGCTGGCCTGGAGTGGGTCCCTAGAGTGGCAGGAGAGGGGGGCCTGGGGGTCTTGGGGGATTTGGGGTCCTGAGGGTCTTTGGGGGATTTAGGGGGATTTGGGGGAGCCTGGGGGTTTTGGGGGTCTTGGGGTGCTGAGGGGGGCTCAAGGTGCTGGCCTGGAGTGGGGTCCTCGAGTGGCAGGAGGTGAGGGGGGTCCTGGGGCTTTGGGGGTCCTGGGGGTCTTTGGGGTCCTGAGGGTCTTTGGGGTGAATTGGGGGGTTGGGGGTCCTGGGAGGTTTTAGGGGTTTTGGGGTGTTTTAAGGGGTTGGGTTTGGGGTGCTGGCCTGGAGTGGGGTCCTCGAGTGGCAAGAGGTGAGGGGGTCCTAGGGGGTCCTGGGTGAACTGGGGGTTTGGGGTGAATTGGGGGGTTGGGGGGTCTGGGAGTGATTTGGGGGTCCTGGGGAGCCTTTGGGATGAATTGGGGGTCCTGGGGGTCTTTGGGGTGAATTGGGGGTCTTGGGGGTGTTTTAAGGGGGTTTGAGTTTGGGGTGCTGGCCTGGAGTGGGGTCCTCGAGTGGCAGGAGGTGAGGGGGGCTTGGGGGTCCTGGGGGCCTGGGGGTCCTGGGGGATTTGGGGGAGCTTGGGGGATTTGGGGGCTTTATGGGTCTTGGGGTGATACGGGAGGTTTTAGGGGTGTCCTGGGGACTGGAGTGGGGTCCTCGAGTGGTAGGAGGTGAGGGGGGCTTGGTGGGGTCCTGGGGATTTGGGAGTCCTGAGGGTCTTTGGGGTGAATTGGGGGATTTGAGGTGAATTGGGGGTTTTGGGGTGTTTTAAGGGGGGTTGGGTTTGGGTGCTGGCCTGGAGTGGGGTCCTGAGTGGCAGGAGGTGAGGGGGGTCCTGGGGGTCCTGGGGGTTTTGGGGTCCTGGGGGTCTTTGGGGTGAATTAGGGGAGTTTTGGGGGTCTTGGGGTGTTTCAAGGATGGGGTTGGGTTTAGGGTGCTGGCCTGGAGTGGGGTCCTGAGTGGCAGGAGGTGAGGGGGGCCTGGGGGTCCTGGGGGCTTCAGATCCTGAGGAGTCTTGGGGTGAATTGGGGATTTGGGGGAGTCTGGGGGTTTAGGGGTCTTGGGGTGCTGGGAGGGGGGCTCGAGGTGCTGGCCTGGGAGTGGGGTCCTCGAGTGGCAGGAGGTGAGGGGGTCCCTGGGGGTCCTGGGGTTTTGGGGTCCTGGGGGTCTTTGTGGGAGGTTTGGGGGATTTGGGGTGAATTGGGGAGGCTTGGGGGTCTTGGGGTGCTGAGGGGGGCTGAGGTGCTGGCCTGGAGGGGTCCTGGAGTGGCAGGAGGTGAGGGGGTTGGGGGCTGGGGGATTGGGAGGATTGGGGTCCTGGGGGGTTGGGGGTCTGGGAGTGATTTGGGGGTCCTGGGGAGCCATTGGGATGAATTGGGGGTCCTGGGGGTCTTTGGGGTGAATTGGGGGTTTTGGGGGTGTTTTAAGGGGGTTGGGTTTGGGGTGCTGGCCTGGAGTGGGGTCCTCGAGTAGCAGGAGGTGAGGGGGTCCTGGGGGTCCTGGGGGTCCTGGGGGTTTTGGGGGTCCTGGGGGTCTTTGGGGATCCTGGGGGTCTTTGGGGGTCTTTGGGGTGAATTGGGGGATTTTAGGGGGTCTTGGGGTGTTTTAAGGATGGGGTTGGGTTTGAAGGTGCTGGCCTGAGTGGGTCCTGGAGTGGCAGGAGGTGAGGGGGGGTCCTGGGGGTCTTAGGTGAACTGGGGGTCTTTGGGGTCCTGGGGAGCGTTTGGGGGATTTGGGGTGAATTGGGGGATTTGGGGAGTCTGGGGGATTTTAGAGGTCTTGGGGTGCTGAGGGGGCTCGAGGTGCTGGCCTGGAGTGGGGTCCGAGTGGCAGGAGTGAGGGGGGTCTGGAGGGGGGTTGGGGGGATTTGGGGGTTTGGGGGTCCTGGGGAGTTTGGGGGTCCTGGGGGTCTTTGGGGGTCTTTGGGGTGAATTAGGGGAGTTTTTGGGGGTCTTGGGGTGTTTAGGGGCGCGAGGCCGGAGTGGGAGGGGTTAAAGGGGGATTTGGAGGGGTTTGGGGGCCTTAGGGGGTTTTGGGGGTCCTGGGGGGTTTTGGGGGGTCCTTGGGGGGAGTTTGGGGTGAACTTGGGGGGGTTTTAGGGGGATTTTGGGGTGATAAATGGGGGGGTTCACTCAGTGATTGCTTGGGGGGCTCTTTGGGGGTGAAAGCTGCCCTGGGACCCCCCCCAAATCCCACTGGGTACCCCCAAATCTTCCTTCTGACCTCCCAAATCCCTCTGGGGACCCCCAAATCTTCCTTCTGACCCCCCAAAATCCCCCTGGGGACCCCTAAAACCCCCCTGGGGACCCCTAAAATCCCCCCTGGGGACCCCTAAAACCCCCCTGGGGACCCCCAAATCTTCCTTCTGACCCCCCAAAATCTCCCTGGGGACCCCCAAATCTTCCTTCTGACCTCCCAAATCCCCCCTGGGGACCCCTAAAACCCCCCTGGGGACCCCTAAAATCCCCCTGGGGACCCCTAAAATTCCCCTGGGGACCCCCAAATCTTCCTTCTGACCCCCAAAATCCCCCATGGGGACCCCCAAATTTCCCCCCCCCGAAACTCAAATTCCCCTGGGGACCCCCAAATCTCTCTTGTGACCCCCAAAATCCTCCTGGAGACCCCCAAATCTTCCTTCTGAGCCCCCAAATCCCTCTGGGGACCCCCAAATCCCTCTTGTGACCCCAACCCCCTAAGGACCCCCCAAATCTTCCTTCCTGACCCTCAACCTCTCGGATCCCCTAAATCCCCTGGGGACCCCCCAAACCTTCCCAGGACCCCAAATCTTCCTTCTGACCCCCAAATCTCTCTGGGGACCCCCAAATCTTCTTCTGTCCCCCCAAATCTCTCATGTGACCCCCAAATCCCCCTGGGGACCCCCAAATTCCCCCAGAAACCCAAATCTTCCTTCTGACCCCCAAATTTTCCTTCTGACCCCCAAATCTCTCGTGTGACCCCTAAATCCCCCTGGGGACCCCCAAATCTTCCTTCTGACCTCCCAAATCCTTCTGGGGACCCCTAAATCTTTCCTTCTGACCCCCAAATCCCCTTGTGACCCCCAAATCTCTTGAGGACCCCCTCAAATTCCCTTGTGGACCTCCAAAACCCCCTGGGGACCCCCAAATCTTCTTTCTGTCCCCCCAAATCTCTCTTTGTTACTCCCAAATCCCCCTGGGGACCCCCAATCCCCCCAGAAACCCAAATCGGCCTCAGTGGACCCCCAAACCCCTTGGGGACCCCCAAATCCCCCTTGTGACCCCAAAATCCCCCAGGACCCCCTAAATTTTCCTTCTGAACCCCCAAATCTTCCTTCTAACCCCCCAAATACCCTTTGAGGACCCCCAATTCCCCCCTGAGGACTCCCCCAAAATCCCCCTGGGGACCCCCAAATCTTCCTTCTGACCCCCAAATCCCCCCTGGGGACCCCCAAATCTTCCTTCTGACCTCCCAAATCTTCCTTCTGACCCCCCAAATCCCCCTTGTGACCCCCAAAATCCCCCTGGGGGCCCCCAAATCTTCCTTCTGACCTCCCAAATCCTTCTGGGGACCCCCAAATCTTCCTTCTGACCCCCCAAATCCCCCTTGTGACCCCCAAAATCGCTCTGGGGACCCCCAAATTCCTCTGGGACCCCCTAAATCCCTCTGGGGACCCCCTAAACCTCCCTTGTGACCTCAAACCTCCCAGGGACCCCCAAATCTCTCGTTGTGACTCCCCAAATCCCCCTGGGACCCCCAAATCTCCCCAGAAACCTAAGCCGGCCTCGGTGGACCCCCAAATCCTCTGGGGACCCTAACCCCCCAGGGACCCCCAAATCTTCCTTCTGACCCCCAAATCTCTTTGTGACTCCCAAATCCCCTTGGAGACCCCCAATCCTCTGGGATCTCACCCCCTAGAAACCCAAATTCCTTCTGACCCCCAAATCCTCTCTGGACCCCCAAATCCCCCTGGGGACCCCCAAATTCCCCCCAGAAACCCAAGCCGGTCAGTGGACTCCAAATTCCCCTTGGGACTCCTAAACCCCCTCAGGGACCCCCAAATCTTCCTTCTGAACCCTCAAACCTTCCAGTGACCCCCAAATCTCTAGTTAGACTCCCCAAATCCCCCTGGGGACCCCCAAATCCCCCCAGAAACCCAAGCCGGCCTCGGTGGACTCGAGCACGAAGCTCACCCGGTCCCTGCCCTGCCAGGTCTACGTCAATGCTGGGGAGAACAACCTGTGAGTTTTGGGGGTTTTGGGGTCTTTGGGGGTCTTAGGGGAATTTGGGGGTCCTGGGGTCCAGGGGTCTTTGGGGTGAATTGGGGAGTTTGGGGGATTTAGGGGGATAAGGGGGTCTGAAGGTGCTGGAATGGAGGGAGAGTGGGGAGGGAGGGTTTTGGGGGCTTCTGGGGGTTTTGGGGGTCCTGGGAGGGTTTGGAGGGTCCTGGGGGTCCTGAGGGTCTGGGGGTCTTTGGGGTGAATTGGGGAGTTTTGGGGGATTTGGGGGATAAGGGGCTCTGAAGGTGCTGGAATGGAGGGAGAGTGGGGGAGGAGAGGGGTTTTGGGGGTCCTGGGGGTTTTGGGGGTCCTGGGGATTTGGGGTCCTGGGGGTCCTGGGGGTCCTGGGGTCTGGGGGTCTTTGGGGTGAATTGGGGAGGTTTGGGGGATTTAGGGGATAAAGGGGTCTGAAGGTGCTGGAATGGAGGGAGGAGGTGGGAGGGAGTTGGGAGGGGGTTTTGGGGGTCCTGGGGAGTTTTGGGGGTCCTGGGGGGTTTTGGGGGTCCTGAGGGTCTGGGGGGTCTTTGGGGTGAATTGGGGGAGTTTTGGGGGCTTTAGGGATTTAGGGGGTAAGGGGCTCTGAAGGTGCTGGAATGGAGGGAGAGTGAGGGGAGTGGGATTGGGGTCCTGGGAGGGTCCTGGGGAGGGTTTGGGAGTCCTGGGGGTTTTGGGGTCCTGAGGGGTCCTGAGGGTCTGGGGAGTCTTTGGGGTGAATTGAGGGAGTTTTGGGGGCTTTCAGGGGATTTAGGGGATTTAGGGGATAAGGGGGCTCTGAAGGTGCTGGAATGGAGGGAGAGGGGGGAGTGGGAGGGGTTTGGGGGTCCTGGGAGGGTTTTGGGGGTCCTGGGGGTTTTGAGGGTCCTGGGGGTCCTGGGGGTGTCTTTGGGGTGAATTTTGGGGGATTTTGGGGGATTTAGGGGGATAAGGGGGCTCTGAAGTTGCTGATGGAGAGAGAGTGAGGAGTGGGAGGGGTTTGGGGGTCCTGGGAGGGTTTGGGGATCCTTGGGGGTCCTGAGGGTCTGGGGGTCTTTGGGGTCTGAGGTCTGGGGAGTTTTGGGGCTGGGGCTCTAGGGGCATTTAGGGAGGTATAGGGGGCTCTGAAGGGTGCTGGAATGGAGGAGAGGATGGGGGAGTGGGAGGGGTTTGGGGGTCCTGGGGGTTTGGGGGTCCTGGGGTGATTCTGGGGGTCCTTGGGGGTCCTGAGGGTCTGGGGGTCTTTGGGGTGAATTGGGGGCTTTGGGGGGATTTAGGGGATTTGGGGGATTTAGGGGTTGTAAGAGGGGCCTAAACTCCTGGTGTGGAGGGGGCTGGGGGATTGGGAGGGGTTTGGGGGTCCTGGGGGATATTGAGGGTCCTGGGGTTTTGGGGGTCCTGGAGGGATTTGGGGGGGTCCCAGAAGGGTCTTGGGGTGGTCCTGGAACCAGGAGGGACTCCAAAATGCTCTCTTTCCCCCACCCCCAGGAAAACAGACCAGTGGCCCCAAAAGCTGATCATGCAGCTGATCCCACAGCAGCTCCTGGTGAGGTTTTTGGGGTCCTCTGGCCCCCACCCCAATTTCGGGGTCTCCTCCCCCAAATCACCTGACCTTGGGGACCCCAATTTTTTTTTTTGGGGGCTGGGGGTCCTGGGGTGATTTGGAGGGTCCTGGGGGTTTCTGGGGTCCTGGGGTTTTTGGGTAATTGGGGGTCCTGGGATGGTTTGGGGTCCTGGAGGGTCTTTGGGGTGATTTGGGGGGTCCTGGGGTTTTTGGGGTCCTGGGGGTTTTTGGGGTGATTTGGGGGTCCTGGGGTTTCTGGGGGTCCTGGGGTCTTGGGGAGATTTGGGGGTCCTGGGGGTTTTTGGGATTGGGGTCCTGGGGTTTTGGGGGTCCTGGGGTTTTGGGGTCCTGGGGATTTAGAGATTTGGGGGTCCTGGGGGTCTTTTGGGGAGTTTACTGAGGGTTTTGGGAGGTTTAGGATTTGGGGGAATTCTGGGGATTTTGGGGAATCCTGATGGATTTTGGGAGTTTGGATTTTGGGGGTTTTGTGGATTTTGGGGAGTTTGAGGATTTTGGGGAGAGTCTGAGGATTTGGGGAGTTCGGATTTGGGGAGTCTTGGGGATTTTGGGGAGTTTGAGGATTTGGGGGATTTTGGGGATTTTGGAGCTGTGGGATTTGGGGCCTGGAATTTTGGGGTTTTGGATTTTGAGGGGTCTGAGGATTTTGGGGAGGGGATTTTGGGAGAGTTTTGAGGTATTTTGGGAGGAGTTTTGTGGGATTTTGGGGGGATTTTTGTGGAATTTTGGGGGAGTTTTATGGGATTTTTTGGGAGAGTTTTGTGGGATTTTGAATTTTGTGGAATTTGGGGAAAGTTTTGAGGGATTTTTGGGGAGAATTTTCTGAGATTTGTGGGGGGAGTTTTGTGGGATTTGGGGGGGCCTTGAACTCTTGTGGGGGGGTCCTGAAACCCCTTTTTTGCCCCCCCCAGACCACCCTGGGCCCCTTTTCCGGAATTCCCGGATGGTTCAGTTCCACTTCACCAACAAGGACCTGGAGTCGCTCAAGGGGCTCTACAGGATCATGGGCAGTGGTTTTGTAAGGACCCCTCCCCAAAAAAACCACCCTGGGACCCCAAAATCGTCATCAGGGACCCCAAAATCGTCATCAGAGACCCCAAAAACCCCCTGGGACCCCCAAAATCACCCTGGGGATTCCAGAACCACCCTGGGGACCCCAAAATCACCCTTGTCATCAGGGACCCCAAAATCGTCATCAGGGACCCCAAAAACCCCCTGGGGACCCCAAAATCGTCATCAGGGCCCCAAAATTGTCATCAGGGACCCCAAAAACCCCTGGGGACCCCCAAAATCATCATTAATGACCCCAAAATCATCATCAGGGACCCTGAAATTGTCATCAGAGACCCCAAAAACCCCTGGAGACCCCAAAATCATCATCATAGACCCCAAAAACCCCCTGGGGACCCCCAAAATCATCATCAGGGACCCCAAAAACCCCCTGGGGACTCCCAAAATCATCATTAATGACCCCAAAATCGTCATCAGGGACCCCAAAATCGTCATCAGAGACCCCAAAAACCCCCTGGGGACCCCAAAATCGTCATCAGGGCCCCAAAATTGTCATCAGGGACCCCCAAAAACCCCCTGGGGACCCCCAAAATCACCCTGGGGATTCCAGAACCACCCTGGGGACCCCAAAATCACCCTCAGGGACCCCAGAATTGTCATCAGGGACCCCCAAAATCGTCATCAGGGACCCCAAAAACCCCCTGGAAACCCCAAAATCGTCATTAATGACCCCAAAATCGTCATCAGGGACCCCGAAATCGTCATCAGGGACCCCAAAAACCCCTGGGGACCCCCAAAATCAGCATTAATGACCCCAAAATCATCATCAGGGACCCCAAAATCACCATCAGGGACTCCGAAATCGTCATCAGAGACCCCAAAATCGTCATCATAGACCCCAAAAACCATCTGGGACTCCCAAAATCATCATCAGGGACCCCAAAATCGTCATCATAGACCCCAAAAAACCTCTGGGGACCCCCAAAATCATCATTAATGACCCCAGAATCATCATCAGGGACCCCAAAATCACCAATATGACCCCAAATCCCATCCCATGACCCCAAATCCCCTCCCAAATCCCCTCCCATGGCCCCAAATCCCCTCCCAAATCCCCTCCCATGGCCCCAAATCCCCTCCCAAATCCCCTCCCATGGCCCCAAATCCTCTCCTGTGACCCCAAATCCCATCCCATGGCCCCAAATCCCCTCCCATGGCCCCAAATCCCATCCCATGACCCCAAATCCCCTCCCATGACCCCAAATCCCCTCCTGTGATCCCAAATCCCCTCCCATGACCCCAAATCCCATCCCATGACCCCAAATCCCCTCCCAAATCCCATCCCATGACCCCAAATCCCCTCCCATGGCCCCAAATCCCCTCCCATGACCCCAAATCCCCTCCCATGACCCCAAATCCTCCCATGACCCCAAATCCCATCCCATGATCCCAAATCCCATCCCATGGCCCCAAATCCCCTCCCATGACCCCAAATCCCCTCCCATGACCCCAAATCCCCATCCCATGACCCCAAATCCCCATCCCATGACCCCAAATCCCCTCCCATGACCCCAAATCCCATTCCCATGGTCCCCAAATCCCATCCCATGGCCCCAAATCCCCTCCCATGACCCCAAATCCTCCCATGACCCCAAATCCTCCCATGTCCCAAATCCCATCCCATGGCCCCCAAATCCCATTCCTGTGACCCCAAATCCCTCCCATGGCCCCAAATCCCCTCCCATGGCCCCAAATCCCATCCCATGACCCCAAATCCCCTCCCATGACCCCAAATCCCATCCCATGGCCCCAAATCCCTCAGACCCCAAATCCCCTCCCATGGCCCCAAATCCCATCCCATGACCCCAAATCCCATCCCATGACCCCAAATCCCTCCCATGACCCCAAATCCCTCCCATGACCCCAAATCCCATCCCATGACCCCAAATCCCATCCTGTGACCCCAAATCCCATCCCATGGCCCCAAATCCCATCCCATGGCCCCAAATCCCCTCCCATGGCCCCAAATCCCATCCCATGACCCCAAATCCCCTCCCATGACCCCAAATCCCTCCCATGATCCCCAAATCCCTCCCATGATCCCAAATCCCATCCCATGACTCCCAAATCCCATCCCGTGATCCCAAACCCTCCCATGGCCCCAAATCCCTCCCATGGCCCCAAATCCCCTCCCATGTCCCAAATCCCATCCCATGGCCCCAAATCCCCTCCCATGACCCCAAATCCCCTCCCATGGCCCCAAATCCCTCCCATGGCCCCAAATCCCATCCCATGGCCCCAAATCCCATCCCATGACCCCAAATCCCTCCCATGGCCCCAAATCCCCTCCCATGACCCCAAATCCCCTCCCATGGCCCCAAATCCCCTCCCAAATCCCATCCCATGGCCCCAAATCCCCTCCCATGGCCCCAAATCCCCTCCCATGGCCCCAAATCCCATCCCATGATCCCAAATCCCATTCCCTGTGTCTCTAACATGTCCCAAATCCCCTCCCATGGCCCCAAATCCCATTCTATGTCCCATCCCATGTCCCAAATCCCCTCTCATCACCCCATATCAGTGTCTAACATGTCCCATACCCCTTCCCATGACCCCAAATCCCATTCTCTGTGTTCCTAACATGTTCTGTGTCCCATCCCATGACCCCAAATCCCATCCCATGACCCCAAATCGCGCTCCATGTGTCCCAAATCCCCTCCCATGGCCCCAAATCCCATCCCATGACCCCAAATCCCATCCCATGGCCCCAAATCCCATCCCCTGTGTCTCTAACATGTCTCTATGTCATTCCCATGTCATTCCCGTGTCATTCCGTGTCCCAGGCGGGCTGTGTGCACTTCCCCCACACGGCGCCGTGCGAGGTTCTGCTGTCCCTGGGACCCCAAATCCCCTCCCATGGCCCCAAATCCCATTCCCTGTGTCTCTAACATGTCCCACATCAGTCATTCCCGTGTTTTCCCGTGTCCCAGGCGGGCTGTGTGCACTTCCCCCACACAGCCCCATGATGTCCCTGGGACCCCAAATCCCATCCCATGACCCCAAATCCCCTCCCATGGCCCCAAATCCCCTCCCATGGCCCCAAATCCCATCCCATGGCCCCAAATCCCATTCCCTGTGTCTCTAACATGTCCCACATCAGTCATTCCCATGTCATTCCCGTGTCCCTCACGTGTCATTCCGTGTGGCAGGCGGGCTGTGTGCACTTCCCCCACACGGCACCGTGCGAGGTTCGTGTCCTGATGCTCCTCTACTCGTCCAAGAAGAAAATCTTCATGGGGCTGATCCCCTACGACCAGAGCGGCTTCGTCAACGGCATCCGCCAGGTCATCACCAACCACAAGCAGGTGCAGCAGCACAAGATGGACCAGCAGAGAGGGGTGAGACCCCCCAAAAAACCCCAAAAACACCCCAAAAACCACCCCAAAATCATACAGATCCTATAGACCCTATATAGACCCCATAGATCCCATACAGACCTCACAGAACCCCCCCAGGTCATCACCAACCACAAGCAGGTGCAGCAGCACAAGATGGACCAGCAGAGAGGGGTGAGACCCCCCAAAAACACCCCAAAAACACCCCAAAAAACACCCCAAACCACCCCAAACCACCCCAAAATCATACAGATCTTATAGACCCATATAGACCCCACAGAGCTCACAGAGCCCCCCCAGGTCATCACCAACCACAAGCAGGTGCAGCAGCACAAGATGGACCAGCAGAGAGGGGTGAGACCCCCCAAAACCCCCCCAAATCCCTACAGACCCCACAGAACCCCCACAAAACCCTACAGAGCCCTCAGACCCCATAGATCCCATACAGACCCCATAGAACCCCCCCAGGTCATCACCAACCACAAGCAGGTGCAGCAGCACAAGATGGACCAGCAGAGAGGGGTGAGATCCCAAAAACACCCCAAAAACCACCCCAAAATCCTACAGATCCTATAGAGCCCATACAGACCCCATAGATCCCATACAGACCCCATAGAGCCCACAGAGCCCCCCCAGGTCATCACCAACCACAAGCAGGTGCAGCAGCACAAGATGGACCAGCAGAGAGGGGTGAGACCCCCCAAAAAACCCTAAAACACCCCAAAAACCACCCCAAAATCATACAGACCCTATGGAGCCCATACAGACCCCATAGATCCCATATACAGACCCCGTATAGAGCTCACAGAGCCCCCCCAGGTCATCACCAACCACAAGCAGGTGCAGCAGCACAAGATGGACCAGCAGAGAGGGTGAGACCCCAAAAACACCCCAAAAACCACCCCAAACCACCCCAAAACCTTACAGATCTTATAGACCCCATACAGACCCCACAGAGCTCACAGAGCCCCCCCAGGTCATCACCAACCACAAGCAGGTGCAGCAGCACAAGATGGACCAGCAGAGAGGGGTGAGACCCCCAAAACACCCCAAAACACCCCCAAACACCTACAGAACCCATCCTGAGACCCTACAGACCCCATAGACCCCATACAGACCCCATAGAGCCCACAGAGCCCCCCCAGGTCATCACCAACCACAAGCAGGTGCAGCAGCACAAGATGGACCAGCAGAGAGGGGTGAGACCCCCCAAAAAACCCCCAAAAACACCCCAAACCCTCCCCAAAATCCTACAGATCCTATAGAGCCCATACAGACCCCATAGATCCCTACAGAGCCCACAGAGCCCCCAGGTCATCACCAACCACAAGCAGGTGCAGCAGCACAAGATGGACCAGCAGAGAGGGGTGAGACCCCAAAAACACCCCAAAAACACACCCTGACACCCCCAAAAACCACCCCAAAATCATACAGACCCTATGGAGCCCATACAGACCCCATAGATCCCATATAGAGCTCATAGAACATCCCCAGGTCATCACCAACCACAAGCAGGTGCAGCAGCACAAGATGGACCAGCAGAGAGGGTGAGACCCCAAAAACACCCCAAAAACACCCCAAAACCCACCCTGAAACCCTACAGACCCCACAGACCCCATACAGACCCCATAGAGCTCACAGAGCCCCCCCAGGTCATCACCAACCACAAGCAGGTGCAGCAGCACAAGATGGACCAGCAGAGAGGGGTGAGACCCCCCAAAAAACCCCAAAAACACCCCAAAAACCACCCCAAACCACCCTCAAAATCCTACAGATCCTATAGAGCCCATACAGACCCCACAGAGCTCACAGAGCCCCCCCAGGTCATCACCAACCACAAGCAGGTGCAGCAGCACAAGATGGACCAGCAGAGAGGGGTGAGACCCCCAAAAAAACCCCCAAAAACCTCCCAAAACCCACCCCAAACCACCCCAAAATCATACAGACCCCACAGATCCCATACAGATCCCATACAGACCCCATAGAGCTCATAGAACATCCCCAGGTCATCACCAACCACAAGCAGGTGCAGCAGCACAAGATGGACCAGCAGAGAGGGGTGAGACCCCAAAAACACCCCAAAAACACCCCAAAAACCACCCTGAAACCCTACAGACCCCATACAGACCCCATAGAGCCCCCCCAGGTCATCACCAACCACCAGCAGGTGCAGCAGCACAAGATGGACCAGCAGAGAGGGGTGAGACCCCCCAAAAACACCCAAAACACCCCAAAACCCCACAAAACCACCCCAAACCACCCCAAACACCCTACAGATCCATATGAGATCTTATAGACCCTATATAGACCCCACAGAGCTCACAGAGCCCCCCCAGGTCATCACCAACCACCAGCAGGTGCAGCAGCACAAGATGGACCAGCAGAGAGGGGTGAGACCCCCCCAAAAACACCCCAAAAACACCCCAAAAACCACCCCAAAATCATACAGATCCTATAGACCCCATACAGACCCCACAGAGCTCACAGAGCCCCCCCAGGTCATCACCAAGCCCCAGCAGGTGCAGCAGCACAAGATGGACCAGCAGAGAGGGTGAGACCCCAAAAACACCCCAAAAACACCCCAAAAACACCCCAAAAACACACCCTGGGACCCCCAAAAACCCACCCTGGGACCCCCAAAAACATCCCCAAGTTCCTACAAACCACCCCTAAACCCTACAGACCCCATAAACCCCATACAGACCCCATAGAGCTCCCCCCCCAGGCTTCACTGGGACCCCCCCAAATCTCCTTGGGAAGGGTCTTTCCCCCAACCCCCAGACCCTTTTTTGGGGTCTCTTTCCCCCCAACCCCATTTTTGGGGTATTTTTCCCCAACCCCATTTTTGGGGTGTTTTCCCCCAATCCCATTTTGGGGTATTTTCCCCCCAATCCCATTTTTGGAGTCTCTTTCCCCCAACCCCATTTTTGGGGTCTCTTCCCCCAACCCCATTTTGGGGTCTCCTTCACCCAACCCCATTTTTGGGGTGTTTCCCCAACCCCATTTTGGGGTCTCTTCCCCCAAACCCATTTTTGGGGTGTTTTCCCCCAACCCCATTTTTGGGGTCTCTTCTCCCAACCCCATTTTTGGGGTGTTTTCCCCAACCCCATTTTTGGGGTATTTTCCCCCAACCCCATTTTTGGGGTGTTTTCCCCCAACCCCATTTTTGGGGTTTTCCCCCAAACCCATTTCTGGGGTGTTTTCCCCCAAACCCATTTTTGGGGTGTTTCCCCCAACCCCATTTTTGGGGTGTCTTTCCCCCACCCCATTTTTGGGGTGTTTTCCCCCAACCCCATTTTTGGGGTTTCCCCTCCAAACCCATTTCTGGGGTGTTTTCCCCCAAACCCATTTTTGAGGTGTTTCTCCCCCAGCCCCATTTTGGGGTGTCTTTCCCAAACCCCATTTTTGGGTCTTCCCCCAACCCCCATTTTGGGGTGTTTCCCCCAACCCCATTTCTTGGGGTGTTTTCCCCCAACCCCATTTTTGGGGTTTTCCCCCAACCCCATTTTTGGGGTGTTTTGCCCCCAAACCCATTTTTGGGGTGTTTTCCCCCCACCCCCATTTTTGGGGTCTTTTCCCCACCCCCATTTTTGGGTGATTTTCCCCCAACCCCATTTTTGGGGTGTTTCTCCCCCAACCCCATTTTTGGGGTGTTTTCCCCACCCCCATTTTTGGGGTGTTTTCCTCCCCAAACCCCATTTTTGGGGTATTTTCCCCAACCCCCATTTTTGGGGTATTTTCTACCCCAACCCCATTTTTGGGGTATTTCTCTCCCAACCCCATTTTGTGAGTATTTTCCTCCCCCAACCCCATTTTTAGGGTCTCTTTCCCCACCCCCATTTTTGGGGTGTTTCCCCCCCCCACCCCATTTTGGGGTCTCTTTCCCCAACCCCATTTTTGGGGTGTTTTCCCCCAAACCCATTTTAGGGTGTTTTTCCCCCAACCCCATTTTTGGGGTCTCCTTTCCCCAACCCCATTTTTGGGGTGTTTTCCCCAACCACATTTTGGGGTCTCTTTCTCCCCACCCCCATTTTTGGGGTATTTTCCCTCCCAACCCCATTTTTGGGGTGCTTTTGCCCCAACCCCATTTTGGGGTGTTTTCCCCCTAAACCCATTTTTGGGGTAGTTTTCTGCCCCCAAACCCATTTCTGAGGTGTTTTCCCCCAAACCCATTTTTGGGGTGTTTTCCCCCAAACCCATTTTTGGGTGTTTTCTCCCCAGCTGGGGGCTCAGCCCCGTGCCTGGAGCCCCCCGTTCCTGCCCAAGCAGCCCGGGACCCTCCCCGTGGCCTCAGGGGTCCAGCCCCAGGTAAGGGGGATTTGAGAGGGTCTGGGGGGTTTGGGAGTGTCCCTGGACCCCCAGACCCCCAGATTCTTCCCCTACCCCCAGGTGAGCCCAGGGCTGGCCACGGTGGGGATGATGGAGGAGCAGCAGCGGCAGCAGAGCCTGGTCTGGGGTCTGGGGGGCTTTGGGGGGATATTGGGGGATTGGAGGGGATTTGGGGGGTCTGGAGAGGGGTTGGGGGGATTTTGGGAGTGCTGAGGGAGGCTTTGGGGGGCTGAGGGGTTGGGAGGGGATTTGGGGGTCTGGAGGGCTTTGGGGGGATTTGGGGGAGGACTCGGGGAGGTTTTAAGGGGGATTGGGGGGATTTGGAGAGTCTGGAGGGGTTTTGGGAGGGTTTGGGGGTCTGGTGGGGGCTGAGGGATTGGAGGGGATTTGGGGGGCTGGAGGGCTTTGGGGGATTTGGGGGGTCTGGGGTGGAGCTGAGGGGATTTGGGGGGGTCTGGAGGGGTTTGGGGAATTTTGGGGGCTTTGGGGGATTTTGGGAGGTCTGGGGGGCTGAGGGGATTTGAGGGGGTTTTGGGGGGTTTGAGGGGGTCTGGAGGGGGTTTGGGGGGCTTTGGGGGATTTTGGGGGGTCTGGGTTGCGGGCTGAGGAGTTGGAGGGATTTGGGGGGTCTGGAGGATTTGGGGGTGATTTGGGGAGGTATGGGCGAGATTTTGGGGGAGTCTGGTGGGGGCTGAGGGGATTGGAGGGGATTTGGGGGGTCTGGAGGGGATTTGGGGGATTTGGGGGGATAAGGGGGGTTGGGGGTGTCTGGGGGGATTTGGGGGTCTGGGGGAAGTTGAGGGGATTTGGGGAGGACTGGGGAGATTTAGGGGTGATTTGGGAGGGCTTGGAGGGGATTTGGGGGATTTGAGGGGATTTGGGAGGGTCTGGGGCGATCTTGGAGGGGTTTGGGGAGTATTTGGGGTCTGGTGGGGGTTGGAGAGTGATTTGGGGGGCTTTAGGGGGATTTTGGGTGGGTTTGAGGGGTATAGAGGGGGATTGAGGGGATTGGAGGGGATTTGGGGGCGTCTGGGGGGTTAGGGGGATTTTGAGGGGGTCTAGGGGATTGAGGGGATTGGAGGGGATTTGGGGGGCTTGGAGGGGATCGGGGGGGTCTGAGGGGGATTTGGGGGGCTTGGAGGGGATTTGGGGGGTCTGAGGGGGATCTGGGGGGATTTGGGGAGGTATGGGGGATCTGGGGGAAGTTGGGGGGTTTGGGGGGATTTGAGGGAACTGGGGGTCTGAGGGGTTGCCATGATCTGGGGGGATTTAGGGGTCTTGGGCGACCCTGGAAGAGTCTGGGGGTCTGGGGGATCTTGGAGGGATTTGGGGAGTGGAGGGGATTTGGGGGGGAGTCTGAGGGGATTTGAGGAGTTTGGTGGAATTTGGGGTGGGGGGTGGGGCTGGAGGAGCTTTAGGGGGTTTGGGGAGATTTGGGGGGTCTGGGAAGGCTTGGGAGAGGGATTTGGGGGCGTGGGGGAGAATTTTGGGGGTTTGGGGTGTTCAGGGGCCATTTTGGGGTCCTTTTTCTCTCTGGGGTGTAATTTGGGGTCCCAACCCCCAATTCCCAATTTTACCCCCAGCTGCAGCTCCGGGCTCAGCAGCAGCAGCAGCACCACAGCCCCCAGGCCCCCCTGCAGCCCCTCCAGGACCCCCAAGCCCCCAAAGCCCGGGACCCCCAGGCCGGACCCCCAGCCCAGCCAGGCCAGGGGGGCTTTGCTGCGCCCCCAAAACCCGGGGGCCAACCCCCAGCTCAGGAGCCTCCTGCTGAGTCAGCAACCGGTGAGTGACCCCCCAAAAAACACCCCAAAAATGCACGGGGATACCCCCAAAAACATCCCCAAAAATATAGGGGGACACCCCCAAAAATACCCCAAAAATATAGGGGGAACCCCCCCAAAAAACACCCCCAAAATGCACGGGGACACCCCCCAAAAACACCCCAAAAATATAGGGGAAACCCCCCAAAAAACACCCCAAAATGCACGGGGATACCCCCAAAAATACCCCAAAAATATAGGGGGAACCCCCCCAAAAAACACCCCTAAAAATACATGGAGATACCCCCCAAAAATACCCCAAAAATGCACGGGGATACCCCCCAAAAAACAACCCAAAAATACATGGGGATACCCCCAAAAATACCCCAAAAATGCACGGGGATACCCCCCAAAAATACCCCAAAAATGCCCAGAGAAATGCCCCCAAAAATACCTGGGGACACCCCAAAAATAACCCAAAAATATGGGGTCATTTTTGGGGTGTTTCTGACCCTCTTTTTCCCCCCCCAGCCCCAAGGAGGGGTCATTTTTGGGGGGGTCATTTTTGGGGTGTTTCTGACCCCTCCTTAACGTTTGGGGAGGTGGAGGTCATTTTTGAGGTGCTTGACCCCCATTTCCCCCCCCCATAACCCCAAGGTTTGGGGGGATTTGGGGTCATTTTTGGGGTGTTTCTGACCCTCTTTTTTCCCCCCCAGCCCCAAGGGAGGGTCATTTTTGGGGGGGTCATTTTTGAGGTGTTTTTGACCCCCCATAACCCCAAGGTTTAGGGGGAATTTGGGGTCATTTTTGGGGTGTTTCTGACCCTCTTTTTCCCCCCCCAGCCCCAAGGGGGGGTCATTTTTGGGGGGTCATTTTTGGGGTGTTTCTGACCCCTCTTTTTTCCCCCCCCATTCCCTAAGTGGGGGGGTCATTTTTGGGGTGTTTCTGAACCCCCTTTTTCCCCCCCCAGCCCCAAGGGGGGGTCATTTTTGGGGGGGTCATTTTTGGGGTGTTTCTGACCCCTTTTCCCCCCCTCCCCAGCCCCAAGGGGGGTCATTTTTGGGGTGTTTCTGACCCCCCCATAACCCCAAAGTTTGGGGGGGAATTGGGGTAATTTTTGAGGTGTTTCTGACCCCTCTTTTTCCCCCCCCAGCCCCAAGGGGGGTTCATTTTTGGGGGGGTCATTTTTGGGGTGTTTCTGACCCTCTTTTCCCCCCCCAGCCCCAAGGGGGGGTCATTTTTGGGGTGCCCCTTACCCTCATTTCCCCCCCCATAACCCCAAGGTTTGGGGGGCTTTGGGGTCATTTTTGGGGTGTTTCTGACCCTCTTTTCCCCCCCACATCCCCAAAGTTTGGGGGGTGTTTGGGGTCATTTTTGGGGTGTTTCTGACCCTCTTTTTCCTCCCCCAGCCCCAAGGGGTTCTATTTTGGGGTCATTTTTGAGGGTGTTTCTGACCCTCTTTTCCCCCAGCCCCAAGGGTGCCCCCGGCTCAGCCCCTGCACCACCTGCAGCCCCCAGGCCCCCCGGCTCAGCCCCTGCTGCCCCCTCCCCACCAAGGTCTGGGGGCTGGGGAGGCAACTGCCCTCCTGCACCCCCAGCCCCCAGGACAGCCTGGCCGGCACAGCTGAGGGGCCCAGCCCCTCTAGGTGAGTCTAAAAACCCCCAAATCCACCCCAAAAACCCCCAAATACACCCCAAAACCCCCAAATCCACCTCAAAACCCCAAATACACCAAAACCAAAAACAACCCCAAAAGCCCCAAAATCCCTAGACCCCACCCCAAAAACAAAGCTACCCAGACAAATGCACCCCAAAAACAAACAGCACCCCAAAGACCCCAAATACAGCCCAAAAACAAACACAGCGACCCCAAAAGCCCCAAATACACCCCAAAACCCACCCAAAAGCCCCCAGATACACCCCAAATCCACCCTAAAAACCCCCAAGCCCCCAAACCCACCCCAAAACAACGACCCAAAACCCCAAAGTCACCTTAAGACCAAGCAGCACCCCAAGGCCAAAAATGCACCCAAAGATCAAAAGCAGCGCTCCAAAACCCCAAGTACTCTCACCCCAAAAGGCCAAAATGCCCTAAACCACCCAGAAAATCCACCCCAAAAACCCCAAAATCTACCCCAGGACCCACAGACTCACCCCAAAAAACAGCACCCCAAAAACCCCCAATACACCCCAAAAACAAAACCAGCACCCCAAAACCCCCAAATCCACCCCAAAAAACAACACTCCCAAAACCCAAAATACACCCCAAAACCCACCCCAAAAACAGCACCCCCAGAAAACCCCCAAACCCACCCCAAAAAACAAAACAGCACCCCAGAAACCCAAAATACACCCCAAAAACAAAATCAGCACTAACCCCCCAAAATCACCCGGGACCCCAGAATCCACCCCAAAATCAGCAACCCCAAAAACCCCCAATACACCCCAAAAACAAAAACAGCAACCCCAAAACCCAAAAATACACCCCAAACCACCCTGGGACCTCCCAAACTTCCTTGGGATCCCCCTAAACCCCTGAATCCCCAGGACCCCAAACCTCCTGGGACCCCAAAACCCCCAGGGACCCCAACCCCACCCAGGAACCCCAAAAATCCCCAGGACCCCCAAACCACCCCTGGGACCCCAAAACCCCAGGAACCCCAAACCATCCCCAGGACCCCAAATCCCCCAAACCACCCCAGGACCCCCAAACCACCCCTGGGACCCCAAAACCCCCAGGATCCCCAAGCCCCCACCCAGGGACCCCCAAATCCCCCAGGGACCCCCAAATCCCCACCCAGGGACCCCAAATCCCCCAAACCACCCCAGGGACCCCCAAACCACCCCAGGGACCCCAAATCCCCCAAACCACCCCGGGACCCCCAGACCGCCCCAAACCTCCACTGGGACCCCCAAACCACCCCAGGGACCCCAAACCACCCCTGGACCCCCAAACCTCCCTGGGACCCCCAAACCACCCCAGGACCCCCAAATCCCCCCCAAACCTCCCCAGGACCCCCAAACCACCCCCAGGGACCCCCAAACCCCCACCCAAGGACCCCCAAACCACCCCCAGGACCCCGCAAACCACCCCAGGGACCCCCAAATTCCCCCAAACCACCCCAGAACCCCCAAACCACCCAAGGACCCCCAAATCCCCCAAGCCTCCCCAGGACCCCCAAATCCCCCAGGGACCCCCAAACCACCCCAGGACCCCCAAACCACCCCAGGGACCCCCAAACCCCCACCCAGGACCCCCAACCACCCCCAGGGACCCCAAATCCCCACCAACCACCCCAGGGACCCCCAAACCCCCACCCAAGGACTCCCAACCCCCCTCAGGGACCCCCAAACTTCCCCAGGGACCCCCAAACCTCCCCTGGACCCCCAAACCTCCCCTGGGACCCCAAAACCACCCAGGACCCCCAAACCACCCCAAACCTCCCCAGGACCCCCAAACCACCCCAGGGACCCCCAAACCCCCACCCAGGGACCCCAAACCACCCCAGGGACCCCAAACCACCCCAAGACCCCCAAACCACCCCCAGGACCCCCAAGCCACCCCAGGGACCCCCAAATCCCTCTCCAAACCACCCCAGGACCCCCAAATTCCCCCAAACCACCCCAGGACCCCCAACCACCCCAGGAACCCCCAAACCCCACCCAGGGACCCTAAACCTCCCAGGGACCCCAAATCCCCTCAGGACCCCCCAACCCCCCTAGACCCCCAAACCACCCCAGGAGCCCCCAAACCACCCCAGAGACCCCAAATCCCTCTCCAAACCACCCCAGGACCCTAAACCACCCCCAAACCACCCCAGGGACCCCCAAACCACCCCCAAACCCCCACCCAGGGACCCCCAAACCACCCCAGGACCCCCAAATCCCCTCAGGACCCCCCAACCCCCTCCTAGACCCCCAAACCACCCCAGGGACCCCAAACCCCACCCAAGGTCCCCCAAACCACCCCAGGACCCCCAAACCACCCCAGGGATCCCCAAACCCCCACCCAGGGACCCCCAAACCACCCCAGGGACCCCTCAAGCCACCCCCAGGACCCCCAAACCACCCCAGGGACCCCCAACCACCCCAGGACCCCCAAATCCCCTCAGGGACCCCTCAAACCACCCCCAGGACCCCAAAACCATCCCCAGGACCCCAAATCCCCCCAAACCACCCCAGGACCCCCAAAACCCCCAGGGACCCCCAAACCTCCCGTGGGACCCCCAAAACCCCTCAACCCTCCCAGGGACCCCAAACCTCCCTGGGATCCCCAATCCCCTCAAACCACCCCAGGACCCCCAAACCACCCCAGGACCCCCAAAACCACCCCAAGACCCCCAAACCTACCCTGGGGTAGTTTTAGGGACCCCCTGACCATCAAACCCCCACCCAGGGACCCCAAACCACCCCAGGACCCCCAAATCCCCCAACTTCCCCAGGACCCCCAAACCACCCCAGGGACCCCCAAATCCCCCAAACCACCCCAGGGACCCCAAACCCCCACCCAAGGACTCCCAAACCCCCTCAGGGACCCCCAAACTTCCCCAGGACCCCCAAACCACCCCAGGGACCCCAAACCCCCACCCAGGACCCCCAACCACCCCAGGGACCCCCAAACCACCCTAGGGACCGCCAAATCCCCCTCCCAAACTTCCTCAAGACCCCCAAGCCCACCCTGGGGTAGTTTTGGGGTCTCCCCCTGACCCCCTTTAACCCCCTCCCCCAGGGCAGATGTTGCTGCCCCCCGGCCCCAGGGGTCCCGTCCCCCCGGGGGGGCTCCAGCCCGTGCAGACCCCCAGCGTGATGGAGGAGGACATCCTGATGGACCTCATCTAGGGGGGACCCCAAAAACACCCCCAGGGACCCCAAAAACACCCCAGAGATCCCAAAAACATCCTTTGGGACCCCCAAATCACTCGGGGGGGCTCCAGCCCGTGCAGACCCCCAGCGTGATGGAGGAGGAGACCCTGATGGACCTCATCTAGGGGGGACCCCAAAACACCCCCTGGGACCCCAAAAATACCCCCAGAGACCCCCAAAATACCCCCAGGGACCCCAAAAACACCCCAGAGATCCCAAAAACATCCTTTGGGACCCCCAAATCACTCAGGGGGCTCCAGCCGTGCAGACCCCCAGCGTGATGGAGGAGGAGACCCTGATGGGCCTCATCTAGGGGGGACCCCAAATTTGGGGGGGACACCCCCAAATTACCCCCTGGGACCCAAAAATACCCCCAGGGACCCCCAAACCACCCGGGGGGGCTCCAGACCCCCAGCGTGATGGAGGAGGACATCCTGATGGACCTCATCTAGGGGACCCCAAAACACCCCTGGGACCCCAAAATACCCCCTGGGACCCCCAAATCAACCTCTGGGACCCCAAAATACCCCCTGGGACCCACAAAATACCCCCTGGGACCCCCAAATCAACCTCTGGGACCCCAAAACACCCCCAGGGACCCCCAAACCACCCGGGGGGGCTCCAGCCCGTGCAGACCCCCAGCGTGATGGAGGAGGAGACCCTGATGGACCTCATCTAGGGGGGACCCCAAAACACCCCCAGAGACCCCCAAAAACAGCCCCAGGGACCCCCAAAATACCCCAGAGATCCCAAAAATACCCTTTGGGACCCCCAAATCACTCGGGGGGGCTCCAGCCCGTGCAGACCCCCAGCGTGATGGAGGAGGAGACCCTGATGGACCTCATCTAGGGGGGACCCCAAAACACCCCCTGGGACCCCAAAAATACCCCCAGAGACCCCCAAAATACCCCAGAGATCCCAAAACCACCCCCAGGGACCCCCAAACCCAAAGGGGGGGCTCCAGACCG